CCCCACCCACTGCTGTCCCAAACTCTTCTTTCGTGTTCCCTTCTCTTCTCTGCTCCCTCCCTGCCCTGCGGCGCTCACCTCCTCCCTTGCTGTGCCAGGTACTCCTCCCGCTCAAGCCCAGATAGCGTCCTAGCTCTCCCTTCACCCCTGCCCTCCAGCTGAAGGGTTCCTTCCTTCTCTTTCTTTTCCTTCCTTCTCTTTCTTTTCCTTCCTTCTCTTTCTTTTCCTTCCTTCTCTTTCTTTTCCTTCCTTCCCTTTTCCTTTATAGTGTTTGATTTTGGTGTTTGTTGTTGTTGTTAAGACCTTGATGTGGATACCTTTAGCCTGGCAGAGACCTGATATGCTCAGGCTGTTTTCCCATCCCGCCTTAAAGCAGTCTTCCCAGCAAAAGTTGTTTGAGTGACAAAACAGAGGCAAAGTTATATTCACGTGTGCTTGTGCTGACTTCGTACAGCTTTCTCTTCTCTAAGGATCAAATGGGATGCTAGCAGAAACTCAGCCACTATACACTCTTAACCACCTTAAATCCTACTGTAAAAGCAACATTTATCCTCCACCTACCACCACCAAAATAGTACACTTGAGGGAGTTACTAACAGTACTGGTTTCATACAGAGGACAAATGGGCATTAGGACACCGAATGGCAGAAAAAACCCCATAAACTAGAAGCAGGCAGTAAAACATGGATGGCATGAAAACAGTCAATCTAGATAAACGGAAATAAATTTTTCTCATAGAAGACCAAAGAGGTATTAAATAAGATTAAAGAAATGTAGAGCTGGTAGAAGCAAGTATTATATGTTACGTAAGGTACGATAAACCTTGGTAAGGTCCTGCCGTGCACAGTAAGATTCAAAAGGGTGGCTGCCATCCATCCGTATACTTGTAACACTGAGCAAAGCGGGGTCCAGCTCTCTCCTGCGATCGTCAGCTTGCTGAATTTAATATCTGTACTGCAGACACTCCAAACAACCGAGGAAACTGCTAAATAAGAAGCAGTATCAACTATAGTAACCAAATGAACTACAGTGTTGAACATGAGGACAAGACAAAGATACCATCACCATCTGGTGATTTGGTTTCCAGTTTAGACCTAGTTTTACTACAGGACTAATGCTCTCCCCTCATTGTCAGCAGAAGAGCTGCAGATAGACGAGAACAGCCTAACAGGACTAAAGAGCAACCAACCCTTGCCAAGGGAGGGTAGCAGGAGAAGCGCAGAGGAACATGATGGCTTTTACCACTTGAAATGGTAAACAGCACAATGCAGTTCATAAATAAAACCACATTCTGCACCTCCAGGGAAACCAAAGGCATAAATGCCACGACAGCCTGGCAAAAGCTGCAGTCCAGCTGATCACCGCTCCAAAAACGGTGCTAAAGAAATTTTAGCTGGGAGGCAAACTTGGCTACGATTCGTTATTGCCAAAAAATACACAACCACTGGCAGACAGTTATAAATGTTACTCAAAACTATCGTCGGAATGAGAAACACCAAGTTCTCCCCATAGGAGGTCCTGTTAGGAGAGACTGAAGGGAATACAGAAGCTTGTAAAAATGTTATTTCCAGCAGGGAAACATTCTCGGAGAAGAACTTCAGCATCTGAATATCCTTTTGCTCATAATGTAATGTATGACATGTGGTGGATTTGGAGCCCTGGCTTCATTTAAAGAAGCAGATGGAAGATCTTGAAACCTTTAGAGCATCTTTCTTAAGTTACATAGGTCATATTTTACGACTTGCAGAAGAGGAAAAAAAAAAGCGAGTATCATTTTCAGCTGAAGTCAAAATAACATAATATTGTGGAAAAAAGGGACAGAGAATCCAAGTTCTAGATGAGTAGGAAAGTAGAAAAAAAATACTCTCCAGTGGTTACTTCTGTTCATCTTTCGTGGTATTGCATATGCAACCAGGGATGGTATTTGGGAGACACTGTTTTAGGTCAGCCTCTGTACTTTGCTCTTTGGTGTTCTAATATTTGTATTTGTCCAAGGGAGCTTAAGTAGAGTTGTTGAAGCAAAAAGTATAAACAGCCAAGTGGAATGCCTCTAGGAAACGCCTACCAATTGACATCTGTAAGGCATACACCAACAATATATTTTTAAAAAACACGATGGCCAAGTCAACCACAAGGTGTCAATGTGGTAGCACTAGAAACAGGATTTGCTGCTCCGGGGCTGACTTTCACAAGCCCGTCCCATCCACTCGCATAAATCCCGTCAGCAGGGGTTGTGTGCACTTCATCCCTATGTCCAACAGAACCGACCCGACACAGCAGCACACGTTGGAGGGCTGCGCGGTGGAGTTTCGGCTCTGCTCGGCCTGAAGACAGCTTTGCCTGGGCCTCCTGGCCAGAGAGGCTCCCGCAGGTTGAAAGAAATTCACCTACCCGCAGGCGAGGCTTGACCGCACCGGCTGAACCGATTCTGCCGCCCTCTGCTAGCTGCTGTTTCGTACATGGAGCTGAAACACACTGCATTGTTAAGCATTTACGCTGCTTCTTAACTTTAGGATGTGTTTTGTGTTTAAGTGGCCCTAAAAGCGTGCAAGGCAGCTCAGACAGTCTTAGAAGCTGCTGCACGATGTTAGACCGCAGAGCAAGGAGAGCCAAACATGGGGTCACTTGAATAACGGGTTTCAGAAAGGGGGCATTTTACAAAATCCACCCTGTATTCCATCATTTTATTCTCCCCTCACCTGTGGTTCAAGCTACAGCTGCCCTGACATCAGCGGCTCAGGATTTATCTTGGCTGGGGCCCAGGCACTGCTGCCAGGCTTCCCTTTCAGGGCAGCGGCCCTGGGAAAGTCACTCGGGGTTAAGTTTAGAGTTCCAGGTTGGCACATTCTTAATGCAAGCCAAAAATAAGTGTGAATGGGGATCAATTTTATGAATTTGCTGAGCTGCCAATTATATTTTAAAGCTGAAATCTGAAACTAGGTTTGCCAATTGGGTAAGTATCACAGCCAACCCTTAGACAGAAATTAATTGGAAAAACACTTTCTCTTTGAGTTCAGAGAGCATTGCCTTTCAAACGTTATCTCTAAAGTCTTTCCAGGTGTATTTTGGACATTATTGGTCAATCTGAACACAGGGAATTTTAACTAATTAAGTTTATTCTCTTGCATATGTGTCAGTCAAGATTTAGGCAGATGTACACCAAGTATTCCAGGCATGCAACTGTAAGGCAGCATTGAGGGGGAAAAGAAAAGAAAGCTTCTTCCAAAGCAATTCAAAACGCCACAATTTCCTATTGCCTTCCTTTTACACCTTCTTTCCTTGCATTTTTGGGGAGTGGGGTCACCACAGCTGCACAATTGCCCAAGGCCAGGTAGTTGGGTTGTGCACCCACATCTTCATAAAACTGAAAATAAAGCTCCCTGCTAGCCAGGCGGAGGCTGGATGTGCAACATGGCACATACAAGCTTGAGCTCACAGCTATCTGAAACCTGCTTGCAGCCTTGTTTCTAAGCTCCTTGCCAGAGGCACAAGTAACCCCCTCCGGTCCTGCTATCGCATCCCTGGCGCAGCAGCAATGCTGGCTTGAAGGCAGGATTTCCTGAGCCTCCTGATGGAGCCCACACTTGCCCATGGGCCAGCAGCTGTTTCCCAGTGCTGTGCCATCCTCGTTTTCATTTATTCAGGCCTGCTTTAAATACTGCATATCTGTGGTACCCAGCAGACCTCAAAATGTAGTCTCATGTTCTGGAAAATACAGTTTCTGTCCCATTTCAAGGCAGAATTGCATTGTAGTCATTAGTTATAATTTTACAAAAGTTACACATGCTTTCTACACTTTATTGTATGTACAAGAATCTGTAAAAACAAGACATCCCCATCCTTTTTGCACACATCTAATTAACGGGAAACTTTTACACTTACATATTTTTAGTAAAATTGCTCTCAAGAGATTGCCATAGTGAAAGCAAAGACTACAAGAAGAATGAGAAACAAATATGCCTCAATTATAACTCATTTCTTAAACAGTTAAGTTGAAAAACTACTGAGTTGTACAGAGCATTGAATTCTCAGCTATATAAATCCACCGAGAAACTTCCAGAGCAAATCTTCTAGAGGACACAGACGATGCTATGACGTGTATATCCCCTGCACAAAGTCAGGTTACATTGCACCGACACAGAGCTGGGACCCGAAAGGGCCCACAACCCAGGCTGCGCACAGGGTTTCGCTGGAACATCCCCAGGGGTGCTGCTGTGGCCCCGCCTGGAAACGCTGCTCTTCAGTACACGGCATCCGAAGTGCAGGGTAATCTGCGCTGAATGCTGCACACAGCTGAAAGCGAAGGTTCCCACAGGCTGGCCTTGACATGATTCTGAACAAAGCAGGAAACACCAGCTCCTCTCCTGCCCGCTCAGGGACCAGACAGCTCTGTATGGAGTTAAGAGTACAATAAAACATTGCCAGCTCAGGGTTGACTCAGCAGCTCGTGTGCATTACATCAAGCCCTGCACCATCACACATGCTAGTGGGAAAGTCAAGAGAGAATGGCAAAATACACAGTTCGGGAGCTCTCCGCGACCATACCATGGTATAACCCCTCAAAACACTGCACCAGGCTGGAAAGGGCTAAGAAGGAAGGGAAAGGAAACTCCATCAGCCCTGATATTGGAGGCTGATGAAAAAAACATCTGGAAAAGGTCAGCGAGCACACTGGCTTGCGTTACTGCTTGAGGACATGCAGAGAGAACTAACCATGCCTGTGTCCTGACAGCTGGCAGGCACCCTCTCAAACCACCAAATAGAAAATATCCAGCAGCAGCCAACAGAAACTGCAGGTACAGAGCTGATTTGTAGATAAATACAATACAGCAGGGTTTGAGGGTGGAGAAGACTGCAGAAAACACTTTCAAACATGAACGATGGCTGTTGCTTTAGAGGATCACACAGGAGCTACTGACAGATGACCAATGACAGACAAAACAAGCCCCTGAGCAATCCAGTTTATGCCACCTACCTCAGGCCTTTGTCCGTAACTTTTCCACTGGTGTGTTTTACTCGTTGGTCTTTAGAAGTTTGCAGTTAAATGCCTTTGCTCTTAAAAAAGATGAAAAGAAAAAAGGTTAGGGTAGTAACAGCAGAATCCAATTGCACTGTGAAATGAGCTGTGTCACCGTTCTGAGACCTGGCCAGTCATACAACTGAAATTCAGAAAAAAAAAATTAATCAACACTTGATAACATCTTCCTTTTGCCGCAGAATTAGAAGCCCTTCCACACCAGTTAGAAAGTGGCAGCTGTGACCAAACAGTGGGCAATGCTGAGATTAGCCATTCCCTGTCACCCCTGTGTCCTTCTGATGCCAAAACACAGGATTAATGGCTTGTTAATAGCTCCACAGAGACCAGGAGCATCATGGAGTACAACCCTGCAAACTAGTAACGAGGACGCTTCCAGCTGGGGGGGTGATGCAATCCCTGCTCTGCGGCATCACTAATGCATTTGGTCTTAAATTCTCAAAAGATGGATTTCACACGTAAAATTAAAAGATACTAAGTGAGTTGAAATCACTACATAGCAGCCTACCACCTTCTGGGGCAGAACTAGAACTAACAAAAGTGTTTTAAAAACCAAGAGAAAAGCATGGTTGCCACGGGGTGACTGATGTTCAAGTGAGATCTGATTCAAGTCTTGAACTAAAACCACTCTATGCACCCAAAAATCAGTAGGTTCAATCCTGATATCAGGATACAGGTATTAGAACAGGAAAAGAATAAGATGAAAAGATAGGAGAGTATCAAGTGAAAGAAAATGAAAACCAACATGAAGCATTAGATCAGGAGATGGATGATACACTTTTCAACAAAACTACGTAAGAGATACCTTTGCATGTTACTTATCTTATATCCACTTTGAACACAGCTGGGCTCCTGAAGTGGGAAGGAGGTATTCGAGCACCGCAACGCATGGCACAGCTATGCCTGACAGTTGTTTTGGGTGCAATTGTAAATCATACGAGTAGTAAAGTATTTCTCTCCATCACCCAACTCTACTTTGCTTCAGGAAGCATCGAGAACTGGAATGCATCACAGTTGCCTTGAAAAACGCTAAAGTCTGTTTTTCAGAGCAAAACTAGTGATAAGTTTGGAGGGTGGAGTTTGATGGCCAGCATTGTGGGGCTGGCAGAAAAGCACTCCCTGGTGAGATCCCCTGGGGCAGCTGTAGGGTCCATTAACAAAAGGAAATTCAGCCTCAGCCCTTGCTAGCTGGCTGTTCTGTTTCACGTAGTCCAGAGTCCCGGGGCCAGAAGCGAAGCTCGTAGGGCCAGAACACTGGCCAGGCAGCGCAGCACTTGGTTTCCTTAGGGGTTCAAAAAGCCTAGGCAATTTAATTTAAAAGTATCAAGCTCAGCAGAAAAAACCCCACATTACTGATCATTATCAAAGAGGGAAAGCTTTTGTCATGTCCTTCAGCTCAAAAACCACTAACACGACATTATTTTCTTTCTCATCTACAGGGCAGCTGTGCCAAGGATTAGGAAGGGTTTCTAAAGCCAAGAGTTAAGTTGCCTTTTCAAATTTTTTTTTTTTTTAACTTAAGTACAGCAGCAGCTTAGTTGCACTGGCATAGTATGAACCTCTAGTACACAGCCCCACTTCTTGAAAACCTTAACATTCAGGAACAGGGATAGAAGACATGAAAAGAGGTACACACCTCCAAACGCTTTCACAATCACAGGGGAATTGCACAAGAAACACTGCAAAAATCAGAAGGGTCATACTGCTGCCGTGGGACAGACAAAGACCTGGGCAACTTTCTCCAAACCACCAAACAAGTCTGTGACAAGGCATCAGACCACATTCAGACTTCAAGCTGGATGCCCGATGGCAGCATCCAACATCCTCTCTATGACAGCAATTTTAGTCTGTAGACTACCAAAAAGTGATTCTTGCAAACAGAAAAGACACCTCATGACAATCTCTTCATAATTGTCTCTGGTATCTCTGTCGGAAGACGGTATTTTCTTTCCTCAGGTTGTATTTAAATTTGATTTCTGGCCTCAAAACACAGAAGGAAGGAAAAGGCTCATGAAAGAAAACAAAAGATGCATCCCAGTTTTAATCCAAATTTTCACAGTAGCTACCGGATAGCTGCAACAAAACATGGGAAGTTTGGCTTGAGTGGTTGTTCAAGTCTCTAATTGGAGAGGGGAAAAAAGGAAAGCTGAAAAGACAAAGACAGAGGCAGAGACGAAGGCACGGGGAATAGCAAAATCTTGGGTTCACATTCTGCACACTGCTCGGAGCAGAGCTACAATGTCACCAGAGCAGAGCATCTTTTAGAAAGTGAGCCAGTGTCACAGTAATATTGCTGAGATAAACGATCGCTGTGGTGGTACTGACACCTGTGGTATCTTTACAATTTTTATTTAGTGTCTTCTGTGATCCTTTGACTATTTCCCTGCCCCATTCCACCCCCATTAGCAGCAAAAAATGCTATTGCAACATGCAGACTGTGAGAAAACATCTATTAGCTTTAGGATATCTTTACAGGTTATACGTGAGAGGAAGCGTACAAACCCTAAAGCAGCGTCATAAATCTTCCAGCTGAAAGAAGTACTGGACCTGCTGCTGCTTCAATTGCTGCACGAGAAGGTGGTTCTTACAACTTTACCGATTTGCCTTCCCTATCCTCTTGAACAGGTCCCTTTAGACTAAGTGGCATTTCACACTTTTTCACTACTGTCCACAGGCTCCCAGTCAGCTCTGGCCCCAAAGTAACCGGAGGAGTGGGAAGGGGTGCGACGCATCCAAGTATCTGCTGCAGCTTTCTTCCAAACACCAGACACTAAGCACGTCATTCTAGAAATTTGACTAACACAAAACAAAAACAACAAAAGCAAAACTGAGAAAAGATTTTGTAAAAAATAAATCCATCTGTCCAATTATGTTCTATGCAGGATACAACACATGAAATGCCAAATATTTAAAATAATAAAAAAAGTACCAAAAAAGGGCTCCTCAACTTATAATTTACAGCTAACTATGAAGTACAGAGTTGCTACCATGAGTAAGTAGTGTTTGTAAATGAAGGAATGTTTTTATATCAGCTGCTAAGAGACATTCCGTAGATACAAACATTGCTTTGCTTATAACCTTAGATCAATGTAAGTATAAAGCCACTATAAAACTAATTCTTTATTTGAAGTTTTTGGGCTGGTAATATTCATAATCAAGTTTTCACTCCAAACAAACATCCATCCTCTCATCTCAAACACACATTTCCTGCCGCGTCAGAAGAGCTATCAATATTCACCAACCTGTTTTGAACTCACTTCTAGATTTACTACCTTAATTAGAAAACACCACTTTTAAGAGTTTATTACTGTAGTATGATGGTAAAAAGCTAATCCAGAATTACTGATGCACTGGCCTTCGAGACTATAAAGGTGTCTATTTTAAGGAATAAGCGTCCAACCTCCGAAACCGTAGAGGCATAACAGCCCATTTTACCTGCAGGTGCTCCCCTCCGCCGTGGGTCAGCAGCTGCGTACCAGCCAGACGAGGCACTCCGGGGACTCGCTTTCCACCGTCCTTTTCTTAGGAGGACCTTGTGAACCTTTCCTCGGCACGTAACCAAATGTGCCAAGCACAAGACCCCAGCACGTGACGGAGACATGGCTGTCACGCAAGCAGATACACAGCGGTGACACCCGCATTTCTCTCATATAATGGGAAATGAGTTTTGTGTTGAACTGTTTTTGGGTACCTTCTATACAGACTGCACCTCCCGCTGCCTGACAAGTCGGCCATCCTTTCCTGTCAAAATGCATGTAAAATCGAATACTCTGATGCTGCTGTTCCGTAACCTTACCGTTGTTCTGCTGACCTTTCTTAGCACTGTATTGTACGAGTCTGCACAGAAATCATCGGACAGAAACACATTTGGTCATTGTGCCCAGGAACATAACACATCAACCAACTCAATCAACCACCACAAAAATAAGGAATCCCCCCCGATGACTGGCTACATGATGTGCCAAAGGCATTTACGTATGACCAAGCACATGACAAGCCTTCACAGCCAGGCATGCTATGGATGCTATGTTCCAAGTTCCCGACTCCAACATTTACAGGCTTTTCAGCTTTGAGGCCTTATGTTTGCCACATTTTAGTTTGCACGTTACAGTGCGGTGCAAGAAAAGCAACACTACTTGCTTCTGCATATGAAGAACAAAGGACAGAGCATCCCCGAGTCCATTTCCTCTGTCTCCATCACCGTATTTCTTAGCCCTGGATCTCAACCACTTCCACTAGGAGCTTGAATTTAGGCAAAGCTTACCAGTCACAGGCTGGATGTGGTCTGCTGATACCTACTAAGACAAAACCACATTAAAAATGCTTAATATACATTTCCTCCATTCATTTGATACCAAATCAACTATATCAAAATTGTGTTGGCACTGTGCTCCTATAAATGGTGTGGAAAAATAGCATGCAGTCACAGAATTTAAAGCTGTAACACAACGACATCCATAAAAAATGGAATTAGGTTTATACAAGCATCTCAAATTGCTCATTCGAGTAGTACCCAAATTGATGTACTGCTTTTCTCCTTCAAAATCTGCACTCACATGCAGTATGACAGTGTTTTAGTATTTTAAATAAACTTGCAAATAATAGGCAGTTTGAACCCATGTAGATAATCAATCATTTTGGCTCAAAGTCCTCTGCTACTACACATAGGTACCTGCAACTTAAATCAGCGAAAAGAATGGGACACTGGGAAGAAGAGTCAGCTAAACTCATGCCTGCAGCAGCACTGCACTGGCCAGAGACTGTTACATTTTGGTTAAACAGTAAAAAAATACCTGCATATTTGATGAAAACAATTATATCCACTTACACTGCTGGGAATTAACATGTCTAGAGTCCGACTAAAGCAAGCACTTCTGTGAGTTCTACCAGTGCTGCCTCTGAAGGTTGCACTATTTGAGAGACTCTACTGTAGAATCAAGTGTATCACTGATACAGAACTGCTCAAAGAAAACCAAATAAAAAACATTGAGAATTGTATAAAAAAAAGTTGAAATTTAGTCTGATCGCATCATTCTCAATGTTCATCATCACTCCCAAGTGCTACTATAGCACTTAGGTTCGTCATGGAGCCTGAAGCCCTCAAACATTTCATACTAACTCTTCCTGTTCTCTCACTCTCTAGTAATTTTTAAGCAGTTTACACAAAATGAGCCTCATAAGGCATTTTGGACTACATAAAAATCACAGACTGTTCCTCAAAGTTAGCAATAAAAGACCTATTCAAGCAGTCAGGCTTGAAAAGGGAATGCACTGTAATCATTCTACTCAGTAGTAAGGAAAGGAATCAAAAGTTTAACGCTAATTTGTACCTTCTGTTCAAGTTATAAGGATTTTTTAACAAATAAGAGAGAAATAAAATAAATATGTCAAAGCATTTCCTTGCTATTTAAAGTTAGAACTAAATATTAATGAGTTGCCATGGATTCACAAGCTACGCTACAGATGCCGTTACCTGTACGGAAAAGTTTCTGCCACTTTTATAGCAACACTGCCATTCAGAATACCAAAGTAGTAGTACTGAAAAGGGTAAATACTCAGTAGATTTAATATTTGGCTTTTTTTTTTTTACATGCTTGTTCAACATCTTTAATCAAGTCTTCCTTTAATTTGTGTCCAGGCTCCAATGTACATTTGAGGTAGAGGAATTTGATTGAAGAAATGCAATACCGATATGGATAGTTTTCTTAAAATGAAAAATGTGTTCTCCCTGGGCATCTACAAAATACACTGAAGGTAGACATTTCAAGATCATAAAATTGATTAAGCTCACACAAATAAAACAAATACAGATAGACAGGCACAAATACCAACCACGCAGTTTTAAAATTGATCTGTCATTAGCTTCAGACTAAGATATCAAATCTCACAA